TTTTAATTTTTATATATTAGTTAGAAATTTAATTATAATATTAATAAAATATAAAATAATTTTATATTATAATATAAAATTCATTGAATATTTAGTGAATATTCAAATATTTATTTAAAATTTTCAATGAATATTCAAATATTAAAAAGATTGAACAAATGAATATTCGAATACAAATTTTTTGACCAGATCAGACTTCTACCTGATATCGAAAATACTCAATGAAGATATCTCTACAATCGTGAATTCCCATCATATTGGGATTCATTTAAAAAAACTGGAGGACTGCTATAGCAAAAAATATAAATGATGAAAATAGTTATCATACTGATATAAGTTCTTAGCTTTGCTCTTGTCCTGCATTTATACATAATACTTATCTTATATATAAACATCTAATAAAAACATATACGGCAGAGAATCCAAAATTTTTTCCTCAATTTAAAGCCACAGCACGTCATCATGATTACTCATTTATCATCTTTAATAAAAAAAATCTTCCAAGAATTTATTCAAAAAATAATCCTTGGAATAACATTCTACAAGGTAGTGAAATGGAATTCGAACCAGAATCTGAAGTATCAAGTAGTTATAATATTATTTTATCTACCTCTGAGCACTATGTAGAAATTGAAAATAGAAAAGCAGAATTAATAGAGGATATGAAAGCATTCGAAACATTGGTGAAAATTATAACTAATAATATTGAAAATAACAAGCTCTATGAAGTATATACAACCCTTAAGAAGCCTCTTATCACCGAAGTTGCTGCATGTAACAAAGTTCTTAATGCAAGAACACAACAAAAAACCTGGGATAAATCAAAAATTGAAAAATTAGCTTTTTGGCTTCAGTAGGCTTCGTCAAAACTAAAAATTAAATCTTATAGTTTTGGCTTCAATAGGCTTCATCAAAACTAAAAATTAGATCTTATAGATACGAACTCTGTTACTTAAAGTAATATCCCTGTATTTATTTTTGTAATAAAGATTGGTTTTTTTTTAATTAAACTTTTGTGCAAACATCTTAATAGCAATTTACCATCGTTGTTGGTTAAATAAATTATAAAAAGTTTATGCCGTAACTTATACAGGTAGGTTTCTTCGCATTTCTGCAATATTCCTTTAAGTATAATAAATACTATTATATGGTATGTGTATGCAATTGGTAATTTATTCTACACAAATCTCTTGCAAAAAACCTTAACATGTTTTTTTTTCTTAACATTAACGTTAAAAATTTAATATGTATTATTGAGATTATCAGGTTACATTTTGAGATCACTCCGATTGTGTTTGGAACGATCGCCGATTACGTATTCTCAACATTTTTTTTGCCATGACTAACCTACCTGTAAACTTAATAAGGAATAATAAATAAAATAATCAGTAGTATAATAATAAGTAATAAATAAAATAACAATAAAATAATAAGTAGTATAATAAAATAACAATAAATAAGTAATAAATAAAAAAAATATTTTTTGCCACGTTTTGTCTCGACCAGCGTGCTCCGTTGCCTGTTGCACGTCACAGATTATCTCATAAAAGTTTTCAACAGACAAACTTGCGTTCCCAGGTCGTTTTTAATTGGTTTAAATCGTATGAAGTTCTTCGGTCGCACCAACGTAAAGAATTTTAAAATTATTAGTTCCCAGTATTTAAATTTTGGGTCTTGTGAATCGTTGGGATTTTTAAGTACAGTTAAACATTGATTATATTTATTCTGATCCATTAAGCATCGTTTGTTTTCTTTGACGAATAAAAGTTTCTAATACTCTATCATGGTTTCACGCGCCAGAAAGTTGTATCGTTCCATTTTTAAGAAAAAATGAAAAAGAGATATTTAAATTAAGCATTCGAAGGTTTTATTTATTTTCTTTTTTCTTTTGCATTAATTTGACATACATAATACATTTGTCGTATAGTATAGTATAATTAAATTTAATAATCCTGAGTTTTAAATTTCGGGATCAAGTGACTAATTGCCGCCGGGGTGTGACTAGTGATGGGCAAATCAACGATTTTTTGAATTTACTGCGCAGGCTGCGCAGCCTGCACAGCCTGCACAGCCTGCACAGCCCCGGTCCCTCTAGGAGTCTAGGGTTCATGATTATATATATATAAAACATCTACTTCATATGTATAAGGTTAGGCTCCCATTATTTTTTATTGGTGCTTCAAAGTCAGTTTAAACATCAGTTTTCGAGTTTTGCGTTTTTTTCACTTGTAGCTTCATATAAATTTTGATTTTTTTTAAAACTTTTAGCGAAGCTACCACCTGATAAATTTCGATAAAATTTTTTATCCTAATTCTGCTAGTGAAGTTTTCTCAACAACCACCTGATAAATTTTTCATTGAAATTGATTAAGTGATTGCCGTGAAAGCTTCGTTCAAAATTTAAAAAATAGTCAGAATTTATGAAGGATCTCTTCACATGACTCGGAAGAGGAACTAATTCTGGTCAAATTTGCAGATCATTTGGCCAGATTTAAAACAAACCAATTTTAATTGCGGTCAAATGATCGCAAGTTTGACCAGAATTATGAACTAATCATGTGATACAAATCCCCCCGTGTTTTGTTTTTCTTTCGGGCTGATCCGGAATGATTTTCCGATTGGTTAATTCAAGCCTGCATTATAAAGCTGACCAGAATTATGTCTGCTGGCCTGAATTATAAAAATTACACTGCGCAGTCTCTCAAAAACGCCTGCGCAGAAAAACCTGCGCAGCCTGCGCAGTGGCCCATCACTAGGTGTGACCAACATTGGTGTGACAAATAAGTACCAATTTAATTTATTTATATAAGTAAATCAGTGGTGGTGCTTATTTGTCACGCAGATAATTGGTCACACCCTGATCTTGAAATTTCGTAGCGATGCATCAAAAAATTGATCCGAGTCATTTCTCAATCGGTGAAAATTCAAGAATGATCTAGTTCAATCCGGATTGATCGAATTCGTGAAATGAGCCAGAACATATCTAAATATATATCCTTCACTTCGTGAGATTTACATATCATTACATTCTTGGTTATTGTTTAACCTTTGCGAAACCACTATTTCCTCAAACCACCAAATTTGTATAAAAGCAATTTTAATGTAGCGCCAAGTGTTAACGATAGTGCCAAGAAAATGACTAAATAAGTCTAATAAAGCTAATTACATTGATGTTACATGTTACGATTTTTAGACCGCAACCAAACAGTGTAATTAAAATGGCATAATTTTAATTTTAGTTCGATATATCTGGCAATATCGGTGACACAATATTATTAAGCAGTTGATTTAGAATATGTGTCACCTATACTGCAAGAGATCCAAAGTATCGATGAGAATAGAGTATAAGTAAAATGAAATAAAATTTTATTTTCCTGATTTTGTATATGTACATACGGTGCATGAAATTTAAGGAACACGATTTGTAGAAATAATATGTTAAAAACAAAATTTAATCCCTTTAATTTAATATGAGCAAAAGTTATCAAATTAAATATGAGCAAAGATCATCAAATTAAATATGAGCAAAAGTTGTCAATATTAATAATAATTATTCATTATGCATTGTAGAAACTTCTATTACTTCTTTGAATAATGACTGCAAATATATATATATATATATGCTTATTTAGCTTATTGAAGATGGCTGAATTTATTCTCAATGAAATACGGTATAATTTTGCTTCTTGGCGTATTATCAAAAAAAAATTGATGTTTTTAGATTCCTACGCCTTGTGTTATTTATATCCACTTATTATGCTATTGATGGTTATTACTAATATGTATTTCGAAAAAATATTCATAATTTTCCAATAATTTGCAAGTGTAACATCGTTTCAATGATGAATTGTTTACTTTTGTTTTACATAAAATTACATCAGTTCTAGTTTTAAATTTACTGCCTATATTCGTAATATTAATAAAACCCATTGATAAATTATATATATATTGCTTTAACCTCTTGGCTCTTGTAAAATTCAAAATGACTTTTTTCCATTGGGGAGAGTTTGATCCAAACTTATCTGTTACTTCTTGGTTCGTAAGTTCTAGATCGTTAAAGATTTTTCGTGCTTTGGTAACCGTTTATTCTTGGATAATTCTTATTGGAGAGCTATTAGATTATGGATTATATTCACACAATCTGGCACAATACGGTATCAGTAATAATTTGGAATGCTATTTATGCTATTTTACCAATTTAAGCTATGTCGGTCAGACCCTTTACTTTACGGTAAACAAATATTTATTTTTGATGACATATTTTTATTATGAATATTCATTAATAAATCGTTCATAATCTTAATTTATAGGCTGCATTATACTATTCAGTCAGATCAAACTCTCTTGAAAAATTTTCAAATTTATCTAATTTTATATTTTGGATCCTTTATCACACACTAGTACATTATCAGTAAGTCTCTCTATTCTTAATTTAGTAATTTTTAAAATTCCTATATTCGTAAATTATTCATATTTAATTAAATAAATAGCATTCTTATTGTTTTTGTCTACTGGAGCTTACTTTCAAGTGACTTTATTCGTGAAAATAATCCATGGTTCATCTGGTTACTAAATGTTTCTGTTCACGGTGTGGAGTTTGTGACCATGATGATTGAATTGTTTTTAAATCGACAATTAATGAAAATATCATTCATATTTATAACATTGCCTATTCAAATACTTTTCATGTTTGAAGCTTTTCTTGTCTATGATTCACATAAATTTTGGGTATATAATTTCCTAAATTGGTATAATGATTCTCCTGTAAATGTAACACTTCGTTATATCGGCTTTTTTATTCTCTTTATCGCATTTTATTTTTTGGCATACGGGCTTCATGCACTTAGGGATTTTATTGGAAGAAAAAAGAATAATTCTCAAAAAACATCTGAAAATGTTGTAAGTAATCCTCCAATGAGTGCAGTAGATAGTGTATAATTTTTTTTAAATCTTATAGGATGCATTAAATTTAGAATAATAAAAGTTTGGGTTTAAAACTTTAATATCTGGTTTTTCAAAAATCTATAAATTTTAAAATTTAAATAAAAAGTTTTTATAAATAATTAAGATATTTGGTTAAATCTATTTTAATTAATAAAATAAAATATAACTAAAATGTTTTAAAATCTGGTAATTGAAATTTAATAATTTTAATAGGATTCATATACGGATCAGGGTATTATTAATTGTCGTGGCTGGCTGATGCTGAAATCTGGGATCCCAATTTTAAAATATAGGCCCTGCTAGAATCCAAATATACTCTTTAATTATAAATTCTAACTCAAAATCCTAAAAAAAAATGGCAAAAAAACACCCCAAATTTTTTTTAAAATTTCGTAACTAAATAGGTCCAAATTTCAGCATCAACCAATTTCAGCATCAGCGTGACATTAATTAATTCTCCCGTGATCTTGATATAATGATCGGGGAATTAAAAAGTAATCGAATGGCAAGCTAAGAATGATTTGGCAAATTAGGTATTTAATTAGACGGTGAATTAAGTGTATAATTTGGATAGTGAATTAGTTTTAGAATTAGATGGCGAATTAAGAAAGGTTTAATGGTAAATTAAATATTTAAAAGGCAGATAGGATAGGATAGGTAACTGAGATTGAGAATGACTAAATATATATTTTGGTTAGCGAATTGAGAGTAATTTGGCCAGTGAATAAGATGTACAATTGAGTGGCAAATTAATAAATATGTCCAAATTTTTTGATATCCAATTTTGTTCGAAAGTTAATCACAAGTGTAAAATTTATTAAAATTTTCTTTTGACAATATTTAAATTTTATAAATGGTTTTGAATTTCGAGATTCAAGTTCCGATCATGACAATCACGGGACCGACACTTATCTCTTGTTCATAGTTCATAGCATCACAGATGATAGAATTATAATAATATACTAAACATATAGAACAAACCAACAAGCGTTGATAGGGCTAATGAAGTTGAGTAACTCTTTATTAATAATTTTGAATAGTTTATATTTACATGTTGTATATAATCGTGCATGTCGGAAATGTGTGCCAGGTTTGTGGCGCAAATGTGGCGCATATTGCCTAAACTACGAATCAGATTTCAAGATCAGGTGTAACGTAACAC